GGTGCCGCGCCCGGAATTTTCAGCCTCTGAGCCCGCACTGAGAAAAAACTATGGCTTATAAACCTATTAGAGGTAAATATGGAACACCACTAATAGTAGTACCTCTACATATAATAATAGCACATATACCTTAGTTATGGTCTCTGTACCTTAATTAGGTACAGAGACCTTAGTATGGTTCACAGACCGAGAATCATTAGTTTATTTACGACTATTATAGGTGTTCCATATTTACCTCTAATAGGTTTATAAACCAAAGCTTTTTCTCAGTGTGGACCATGTTTCATAATCCAAAGGTGCTTAAATCCTCGGGGGTCGACCATTAGCCGGGCGAGCACATTTTTTCGACGTCGTGACAAAAAGGTCCGAGCGGGAGCTGGGCGGGGGAGGCGGGGAAAAGCGTTGTAGATGGGTCTGCTTATAATATTGATCTGTGCACGTTGTCCACAGATTGAAAAAATATTCATGAGCGGCGGATAACGCCTCGTGGCAGTGGCAGAATAGTTTATTATTGGAGCATCGAGAGGGGCAGCCTCAGCCACGGGCGGTGTGAAGTATGAAGTGCGGAGGAACCTATACGGTACACACTTTAGTATATTATTGCCAAGTGTATGCCTCACACTTGGTGTTCGCTCTGTCCACCTCTATCGATAACAAATTCATTAGACTTGCATATTTTCTGTCTCTCGCTCGGTGGGCCTCGGCGCATGCGGCATGAGGTTCATCTGTTCAGCATTTCCTAAACGTTAGAATCTGCACTAAAAAAATATATGGTAGATTTTACCATACTTTGACGCAGTGATACGAGTATGGTAATGAACACCAGATTCTATGGTAGTATTCACCATATTACGGTAAGTATACCAAAGTTCTGATGAATACTACTATAACTCTGGTTATCTTCACTAAATAAAGTATCACCGTGTGAAAAATCAAGTTGACTCATAGTAGATGTTACCATACTTTTTTTCACGTGGAAAATTTTTATTTAATTCATTGAGAAATCTTCATGTGCTCTACTTCTATATCTTCCCCCCTTATCTATCACTTGTCCCCTTATTGCAAACACTCATTTTTAACCAAGATTGCTCCATGTCCGTATGTTTTTTATGTCGATGTCTTCGTCTATCAATTTCAATAATCAGCGGGCAGCATAGAATTTAACTCCAGAATTTTTATGAGTGCACATGCGCTGAATAACGTGGGCTATTGCAGTCCGTGTAACCGAATTTTTCTACTCACAATCAGTCTTCGTCTACGTCTTTTTCTGCGTCTTTTTCTTTCAATGGAAAAGAAACTCCGGCCGGCTATAAAAACATACCTACCTCCGGGCATAGAGGCCGAAAATTCCGGGTATAGCACCCGGAGCAGTCTAAACTACGGCTCCAGCTCTCGGAACTTTCGGCTTCTGAGCCCGGTATGCCTGTATAACCCGTGACTTTTTTCAGTGTTTTTGACGTGAATCTTCCTGCGTCTTGTCCTCGACTTCGGGAACGACCGTCTGTGGAGCTCCTCCTCTTCTCGAAAAAAATCTCTCGGGTTCCACGCAACGGAGCTCGGTTTCCCACCAGAAGCCGGAGCCGAGGCTGGCGACCGGTCGCGGGAGTTCGTGAGAAGTAAATAAACGACGCAAATAAAATAAAGCCGAAAAATGGAGACGGCCACGCCATCGCGCGGGTGCCGCCGCCGCCGCGGTGAGAGGACGGGATGCCGATGCGATGCGGCGTGCGTTCGTCAACGGAGCCGGGCCGGGCCGGGAAGTGGGCTGAAAGTTGACTCCTCCAACTTGGAACTTGCAGGTTACAATCATCGCCGCGGACACGATACCGCGTCGTCCTTGTTGCCAGTATTCAATCCCACGGAAGGAACTCTTCGTGTCGTTGAGAGATTTTACCTGCACTGGTACCCCAGACAATACACACTGAAAAAAGTTTATTGTCCGAGAAACAAGGATTCTAGTCTCCCAGACAAGACCGTCTTGTTATATTTGATCCACGAGGTTATCTAATTCATGGGACCCATACAGTCTTGTTCAGGGAATTCTGAACTGAGTTGTTTGGCGGACTAAAAGTCATGTTCTGGAGACAAGGCAGGTTTAACAAGTTTATCTAGTCTCTACGGCTCTACATACTATTTTTTTCAGTGCACTCTTAAAAATCTAGGAGTGAAATCCGGTGCCGGAGTGCACAACATAGTGCCTAAAACCCCCCAGTGATATGAATTCGAAAGGCGAATTTTATTCAGAGAGCCGGTACTACTTTTGTGCCCGAACCTCCGAGTTGCCATTCTATTCAAGCTTGGAACTTCCGATTCGGTGACTAACGAATCGCAACGTTGGTGCGTGATTTTGGTACCACCTCGCGAGGTTGTTCTAAAGAGGGTTCGACCCATCGAAAACCGACAGATCTGATTGGTCGAGTCCGGTAACAACGGTGTCCACTTGTGTTGGTGATTGATCAGATAAACCGGGACAAAACTTCCCAAAGAGGTTCGGAACTTTAAATAAAATTCGCTTGAGGTGAAATTTGCACCTTAAAAGCGTATGCCACTCCGCAAAAAGAGTAGATTCCTCTCTGTATAGTGTAAGTCACTCCCTAAGTTAACTTTACTCACTTGAGCCGGCATCTGATGGAGTGAAGTTTTAATATTCCTTCACGCAATCATAATGCTTTCAAGTCTGCGCGTATTTAATTAAAAATGTGCTGAAATTTACACGTAATTTTCACTTTAAACGCTCACCCCTTTAATATTTCCCCATAAAATGTCATAAATTTTGATTTTGATCATGGAAACCTAACCTCGCTCACCGGTGGAGGGGAATGTTAGATAGCGTCGGTGAAAACTTTTCCTAAGCTTGGCTCCGACGCGCAAATCCGACAACAGAGAGCGCGGGTGTAAGTGTGACCTGGCCCTCGAAACAGATCATAATTGCCGCTTCGTGTGTGAAATCTCCTCTTTAATAGCTCCCCCCTCCCGGTGTCGTGCTTGCGTTAGTGTCAGTGTGTGTTTTATCCCCCGCCCCTCCCCCCATTAACCCATCGAGGAACATGACACGATCACACTGTGGCCCGGCCCCCTCCCCCCTCCCTCGAAAGAATGGAGCTTCGTCGCCTGGATTGTGGATTTTTTCTCTCTTTTTCGTGGCGGCGATGGGGGACCGGGGGGAAGGGGGGCGGGGGGGGCGATCGTTTTTCCCAGGAATTAAACGGATCCACCGAGACTCGTGGTCGTCCGACCTGCTGCCGGCGACTTGAGACCTTGAACCGGGCTTCTTTGCAGCTTTACCTGCCGCAGTGCCGCATGCGCGGGAAAAAACTTGAATTTGAACAAGCGAGGCTTAGAGTACCTACATTGACAAAGTATGGCTACTTGCGTGCGGGTTTTTCATTGCTCGCGAAAAATAGACGGATACGGTGCGCTTAAGGCCGTGAGTAAACTAACAAAATGGCGATTTCACGCAACCGTCGAATTTCTTATAGAAGTTTTGGCCAATAAAGGTGAAAAGAGAATCAAGCCAACTAAAGCTCTTGGACGGCACATATAACAATTATGGAGCAAAAATAGGCTGAAAAAGGGCGCAAGAGCTAGTTTTTCAAGGGAAACATTTGGGGATTCAAATCAAAGACTCCTAATTCATTTGAAAGGCACTAAGAAATCCCCCTAGTGCAGTTAAACCGAGCGATTGATCTTCCCACTGGAGAGCACACTGATGCCAGCTTGTAGAATTGTTTTAATTTTATACAATTCTGTGAAATCCACTGAGATATACGCAGAGAGTATAAATTAGAACAAATAGAAAAGATTACATATTCTGAGAAAAGCACCATGTCTACTTTCAAAGCTTCACTTATTTACTTCAAAATAAAATTGTCAGTATTTACATGTTCACCGGGAGGATACATGTTCGAACTTTGCGGCTCATCTCAAACCGAGCATCGCCAACTTCGTATCGAAGCTTTGCCTCCAAGTTTCCCATATTATAAAATAGTACTAGGAAATGACTCAAACTTCAAACTTTAAAAAAGTAAAAATGTAGTGAAAATAATTGGTGAACTCATCTGTAAAAAGTGATGTTGAAAAGAGCATTCTAATTTTACTGAGGCATGATAAACTTTACGGATCTGATACATTGTAAACCCGACGAGGAGGAGGAGGAGAGGAGGTGGTTGAAGTTCGGGGATTGATCTTGAAAATCGAAAAACTTGTGTCTTCATTCAAGAAACGAGACATATGTTTAACGTCAATAGTTTTCAATGAGACACCCTATTTAATTCTGCTTCAAAAGTTTTTCCTATCCGCATGAAGTCGTGCCTAATCTGTCCTCAAATTTTACAAATATTTGTAGTTTTAAATCAATTTCGAATAATCTTAGACATTGAATTGGGTAAAATTGTGGACTTATCCTCAACACATCCGGCAACTCGAGGGAAAGACTGAAAAAAGGAGTAGGGAAATAAAATAAAATAAGAATGGACTTGGGAGGAGGGTAGGTGGGGAAGCAATATAATAATAGGCCAAGACAGAGGTCCTGCGAAAGGCGGAGAGCCTTAAGGATAATCTTATTCATGAGGGCGCTGGCGCTCCGAGGTGTGACCAAAATGCTTCCCCAGTGGCCCATAAAATATTGGAAGGACTGGCATGCAAATGTCCCGTCGCGGCCGCTGCCCAAGCTGCCCGCTCTACAAATGAGCCTAATCTAACAGTCAAAACACTGGCCAATTTATTTTACTGCCCCGGTCCAGGCAGCACGCTCCTTTAAAAACGACTTGCACCCCCGGTTTCGCCCTCGCGCCTGATATTTCTTATTTATGCAACCCGCACGGCCCAGTTACCCGCCCTGGACCCTTCACCGTTGCGAGTGTTTCGCCGAATCTCGGACTTCTCCTGCTGCACCTTACGAGTGCAACTTTCACCCATTAAAAGTTGCTTTTTTCCTGTGGTTCATTTAGCTTTTATTCCTTGAAAGTGAAAAAATAACGAAAACAGTTTGAGAAACTCACCATGAGGAACCCAGCCGTGATTACAAGTTTCACAATATCTGATGTGGAGTTTTCCAGGGGTAAAACAATCACAAGCGCAGCCCGGCACTGTGCATCGTATCGACTGAAACAGACAAGCAAAACTTTATTATTCAACAAACCCTATAAAATTGGAAAAATAAAAATTTCAGAAATATATAGGTCGTTTTATTTTCCAACAAAGAAACAACACCTTCGCGACCATTGCGTTTAGATAACAGTCAGGTGAGTTGTTATACCGTTACTTTGTCGTCAAATTTTAGTGGTCATGCATTCACAAAATACTGATGATCCTCAGAAAGTACGGAGGGTGATAAAATTGCTTCACTGAAAAAACTCCGGCAGTGGAAGCCGTATACATACGGGCTATATAGACATACCGTCCGCGTTCCGGGCTCAAAGGCCGAAACTTCTGGGCGTAGCACCCGGAGCAACCAAAGCTACAGCTGCAGCACCCGGAATTTTCGGCCTCTGAGCCCGGAACGGACAGTATGTCTATGTCGCAGGCAAATAGTGAAATCAGGCATTTTGTCCATACAGCCCGTAACTTATTTTTCCAAAGTTCAATTTTTCATTATAACATCAAAATAACACACGACACAAGGGTGCATGTCTCAAGTATGTTACTCCCACCTCTCAGGGTGGAGTGGCAGGGCTTGGAATTCTTCCTCCTGTTTGAACAGTCTGAATGATGGCGGCCGTCAGCGGGTCATCTCGTGACTATCTCTGTCTTCTTCAGGTTCAAATGGATCAGGGGGAGAGAGAAAGAAGGTAGAACTATCTTCTCGAATCAGAAAATAAGCTTCCCGCTCAGACGCCAAACTCGATAATCAGACGTTAATGAAGTGCAGTTACAACCGCGTGGCAGGGGTTGTTCTACAAGGGGGCTGTTCGGACAAAAGGGGCGCAACAGCCTCTTTTCGTCCGGTTGTGGGGCTCTCCGTGACGGAACGGCGCGGCGCTCCGATCGCGGAATAATTACTCGGTAAATAATGAAGACCCTTAATGTCAAACCAATAAAAGACGGGATAAAAGGCTACGGGAGGGAAGGAGTGATAACAATGCCGTGACTGCCGCGGCTCGGACGGCGAGGTGCTTTTCCGTTCTGTTAAGTCATCGATGTCTTCGGCATTTTCGGTTGTGTCTTCGGCTGACAATGAATCGAACAGCTGCACAGGGTGTTTATCAAGTTCCAAGTCAGGGTGAGTGAGAGGTTGTTGCAGAGATACACTACCTCGCACCAAACTGGCTCTTATAAAAACGTTCATGGGACGGTTTTACAAATCCTCAAAAAATTGAATTGGTCAAATAGCAATAAATAATTTTTGGATCGTGAAAAAAATGCAGCCGTCACATAATGACATTGTACAAAATGTTGATCGAATAGACTTCCGAAGTAGACAAATTTTCAATTCAAATCCTTGTCCTGAAAAATCCCCCTCCTATCGAAAATATAGGATCCGCACGAGCTGATACCACTATTCGACCACGGGAGAGCTCGTGCTGCATACACTGAAAATTTTAGGCGCACTGCTCATGCGTCAAACTAACTCCTCCATGCTAGTGAAAGGATATTTTTTGAGTGTTCTAAATAAGCTTTTAGTGATACCATTATTCGAACACGCGAGAGCCCGTATTGCCTACTCTACAAATTGAAGGCGAACTGACATGGCGTTAACGCGACTTCTTCCCATTCGGCATAAAACTAAGTTTTGTGTGTGACTCGAGGAGATATTTTTACCCCATTCGCAGGCGAGAAAAAGTTGGTGTTAGGTTAAATTAAGTCTCCACCGCCTCCCACTAACTTGCAATAAAATTGCAGTACCGTTGGAAAAATCGGAAAAATGACCTCCTAAAAAGTCTTGTTTTATGAAAGTGAATTTGGCAACGCCGGCGGACACAAACGACGTTACTTCTTTGTACGGCAGTGTGTGTACGTCTGTGACTCCTCCGTAATTGTGACTTGAACCGGGGTTAGATACTCCCCCCTCCCTTCGGACTGACGCTTCATACCGCGCTTTATTTCTCATAATGATTCGGAGATTTTTCTGCCCCCCCCCCCCCCCCCCCCCCCCCCCCCCCCCCCCCCCCCCCCCCCCCCCCCCCCCCCCCCCCCCCCCCCCCCCCCCCCCCCCCCCCCCCCCCCCCCCC